TGTATATAGGAGCAGGGAACATAGGATTGCACCTTACTTCTGTATATAGGAGCAGGGAACATAGGATTACACACTATATTACTTCAAATAGGAGCAGGGAACATAGGAGCAGGGAACATAGGATTACACCTTACTTCTGTGTATAGGAGCAGGGAACATATGATTGCGCCTTACTTCTGTATATAGGAGCAGGGAACATAGGATTACGTCTTACTTCTGTATATAGGAGCAGGGAACATAGGATTGCACCTTAATTCTGTATATATAGGAGCAGGGAACATAGGATTAAGGCTTTAATTCCGTATATAGAAGCAGGGAACATAGGATTACACCTTACTTCTGTATATAGGGGCAGGGAACATAGGATTACACCTTACGTCTGTATATAGGAGCAAGGAACATAGGATTATGCCTTTCTTCTGTATATAGGAGCAGGGAACATAGGATTACACCTTACATCTGTATATAGGAGCAAGGAACATAGGATTATGCCTTTCTTCTGTATATAGGAGCAGGGAACATAGGATTATGCCTTACTTATGTATATAGGAGCAGGGAACATAGGATTGCGCCTTACTTCTGTATATAGGAGCAGGGAACATAGGATTACGTCTTACTTCTGTATATAGGAGCAGGGAACATAGGGTTACACCTTACTTCTGTATATAGGAGCAGGGAACATAGGATTACACACTATATTACTTGAAATAGGAGCAGGGAACATAGGAGCAGGGAACATAGGATTACACCTTACCTCTGTATATAGGAGCAGGGAACATATGATTACACCTTACCTCTGTATATAGGAGCAGGGAACATAGGATTACGTCTTACTTCTGTATATAGGAGCAGGGAACATAGGATTATGCCTTACTTCTGTATATAGGAGCAGGGAACATATGATTTCACTTTACTTATGTATATAGGAGCAGGGAACATAGGATTATGCCTTACTTCTGTATATAGGAACAGGGAACATATAATTTCACCTTACTTATGCCTATAGGAGCAGGGAACATAGGATTGCACCTTAATTCTGTATATAGGAGCAGGGAACATAGGATTACGTCTTACTTCTGTATATAGGAGCAGGAAACATAGGATTATACCTTACTTCTGTATATAGGAGCAGGGAACATATGATTTCACTTTACTTATGTATATAGGAGCAGGGAACATATGATTTCACTTTACTTATGTATATAGGAGCAGGGAACATATGATTTCACTTTACTTATGTATATAGGAGCAGGGAACATAGGATTAAGGCTTTAATTCCGTATATAGGAGCAGGGAACATAGGATTACACCTTACCTCTGTATATAGGAGCAGGGAACATAGGATTACACCTTACCTCTGTATATAGGAGCAGGGAACATATGATTACACCTTACCTCTGTATATAGGAGCAGGGAACATATGATTACACCTTACCTCTGTATATAGGAGCAGGGAACATATGATTACACCTTACCTCTGTATATAGGAGCAGGGAACATAGGATTATGTCTTACTTCTGTATATAGGAGCAGGGAACATAGGGTTACACCTTACTTCTCTATATAGGAGCAGGGAACATAGGATTACACCTTACCTCTGTATATAGGAGCAGGGAACATATGATTACACCTTACCTCTGTATATAGGAGCAGGGAACATATGATTACACCTTACCTCTGTATATAGGAGCAGGGAACATAGGATTACGTCTTACTTCCGTATATAGGAGCAGGAAACATAGGATTACACCTTACTTCTGTATATAGCACCAGGGAACATAGGATTACACCTTACTTCTGTATATAGGAGCAGGGAACATAGGACTACGCCTTACTTCTGTATATAGGACCAGGGAACATAGGATTAGTATGGGAAGAAACCTGAGAAAACCCTGGTGATAGGGCAGGTAGCCCCATACCTTTCCACGTCCGATTGGGGAATCAAACCCTGGCTGCCTTGGTGAAAGGCAAGTGCACTTTCCAATGCGCCACCCGTCCACCCTGACCATCTGTATGATTATGGAGGCGGGGAAATTAAGAGAAATTACACTCTTTATACAGAAACATCTGTAAAATTATAGAAGCGGGGAAATTAGATAACCCTAATTACACCCTCAATACTGAAACATTGGTACTGTTATTAATATAGGAAATAGAAAGTTAGGGTAATAAGGGTGAATGTATCATAAAGGTGTAATGTGAATTTGGGTTTTACCTGTGAAGGGCAAATACTTTCTGGCTTGTATACAGCGATTCAAAGTCAGGCACTACAAATATGATGTTGATTGCCAAAAGGATTTTTATAAGTAAAATGTCATTACAGCGAAACGATTTGGTTTGTAGAATATAAACTAAGAAATAACAGACATCCCGTTTAAAAAAGATTTGAAAGAAACCATGTTTTTTTTAAGTAATTAGGATTATTTTAAATAAAATGTCATTACAGTGAAACAATTTGGTTTGTGGAATATAAACTAAGAAATAACAGACATCCCATTTAAAAAAGATTTGAAAGAAACCATTTTTTTTAAGTAATTAGGATTATTTTAAGTAAAATGTCATTAGCCAAACACTTCAGTTTGTGGAATATAAACTTAGAAATAGGATGAGTTTATAGATGCGTGCAGTATTTGGTTTTGACATGTGTTGCTATACTTTGGATTTCTGAGATTCTGCTGTATAAGCAAACAAGGTATCCTATTTACTTAGAGTGGCAGTGTTATGTATGTATTACAATAATATTTATGTAGGTAGAATTATCGTAGTTTGTTGTACAGTACAAATTTATTATTGAAAAATTGTTATTTGTGTACTGCCATATATCACTTACTGGTGTTTTTTAAAACAAAATGAAAAAAATGATTATATTTTGGAAAGTTTAGGGTTCGAAGAGCTGGGAGGATTGTAAAAAATATATGTTGTTCATGATATTAGAATAATAATATAAATTAATTTCACACAAATGGCTGCTTCCATTATATTTTGAGGTAGGCAGATGTAGGAGGCTCTTGTGGAAAGTTCTAAAAAGCTTTCACATAAAGTTTTATGAATTATTTAATCTTAACTAAAAAAAAAGTATATTTGATTTATTTTTCTCTGAAATTTAGGAAAAAGTTTCAAAAATTTCCCAGCTACGTAAACTGATTCAATTGAATGACTCAATAATGGATATAAGACCTCTGCTGTACCTGTTTGTGATATATGGCATTATATTATGGTGTGTAACACCCGACGACGGAAGGCAGCATATATCCCTATTGTTACATCTATGATGTTGATATTATGACGTGTTGTATATTTGTGATAAAGTTACATTAGTGTGTACCTATGTATAGACGTACGGTTTAACTCTGTAATACTGCCGACAGTTGCCTGGGGGAATGTTCTTACTATAAAGAAATGTATCTCAAGAGGGTGAAAAAGGACATGCTAGAGTTTGTTGATGGTAAAGGAGTCGGTAAACAAAACGAGGGGTTGTATATCAATGTTTTATTGTGCTAGTGTATCCCTGTATATGTCTAAAGTGTTCAAATTTATGATTTTTATATAATGTCCTTTTTTTTTTAACAGTA